TTTCGAGCGCACAGACCCTTCCCTATTTAGGCTGCCGCTGATCTGGTATTTTCCCACGACGTATCCTGACAGAAATGAAAGTAAACTTCTCAGGGAAAGACTGAGTTATGTGGCGAATCTTATCTGCATTTTCATGAAAGACTAAGTTTCAATATGATTTTTGCAGAGCTATTTGGAGTCCTAGATGACCATAAAAAGCTGTCACAACCCATAATTCCTCGCATGTAAAACTAACCATACTGCACATACAGCAGTTACCAGTTCATGGAGTTCTGAACTTTATGGCTGCTCAATGTTATATGATTAACGAGATATGCACACAAGCTACAAATGGTTCAGACCAAAAAGTTCAGTATGTAACCCAGATTAGAATCCAAAGTCCAAAAAACAGATTCAGTCCCAGCTTCCTCTACTGCAATGTAAATATTGCAGTGATTGGAGTTGCATATAGACACAGTTTCTTTCACTGAAAAAACCACCATGTTGACTGTAATCGCTGATAAGTTAGTGCAGTATGCAACTCCTTGTAATCGGTAACCACAAAGCATTCAACAGGATGCAAAGGAAAAGAACATGGAGACCTAAGCGGCAGATGTGGTTACCTTCTCTTCCATGGACATTGGTCAGGACGAGATTGGTCTGACTGAACCAGGTTTGGCTTGTTGGTTTGCTCTGACAGCGGCGACTCCAAGCATTCATCTCCTGACCAAGTGTATCCATCGAGCTCTGGCGTTGGCGAGCGGAGCTTGGCATCGTCGTTCTCACAATTCACCTCGCCGTCGGCCTCATAGATGGGGGAAGTTGGATCTGGTATGGTGGGAGAGGACTGAAATTGATCCTCGGTGTCGATGCCGCCCCCGCAATGGTTTCCGCCCTCCGTCCAATCTGTCTCTCCCACATACTCTTGTTCTTCTTGCTGGGTCCAACAGAGATTTGGATCTTGGGAAGGGATGGAGGAGAAGCTGTCCGCCGGAGGGCATGTGAGATGAATCGTTGAGGAACAAAGATTTGAATGGATTGCCAATGGGTTTGAGCATACCTTAGAAGTAGTTGGGTGAACGATCCAGGCGCGAGGACCATCCGTGGCGGCGGCGTATCCATCGCCGGACGGGAGATCTTTTGCGGAATTCTCTCCGAAATCTCGGAGCTCTAGTCAGGAACTGGGAGCTGTTCAAATTTTGAATGGTTTGCTCCTCCCACAGGGTGGGGTCGTTTCCACAGCACAGGTATGGGCCGCCGCTCGTATCTGAATACGTATGGTAGGAATGGTCTCTGTATTCCTGGCGTATTGGTTTAGGAAAAGATGCGAGGTGGGGTCGGAGAGAATTGCCACATGGGCTGCGGGTCCGGCTGGTGTGGATCCACACGCGCTCGCGAGCGGTTGGGATAGCCGCTGTGAACGGAACGCGAAAGTAAAAGGCTTTATCGGGTATGTATCTGGTGTTGATGAAGGCGGCGTATATTTCAGTGATCTCTGACACCTTGCGCACTCGACGGCTGCGACGGATTACGCAGCTCGGTTCCTTAGGAGTGAGTCCATGCAGCTAGCGTTGTGCTGCAAACGCGGAGCCAATACCGGATTTGAGGGACGTCGTCCGCGTCGGCGTCGGCGTCAGCCACGCTGGCAGGCCGGATGGCGGGGTGCATATCGGATAGCTGAAAAATCCACCAGCCAATAAAATACGTAAGTGGCTCGCTAGTAATTTCGGAACATTAATGAAGATAAAAGGAGACAATCTAGCATGAAGATTATACATGAAACGACGGAAATCACAAACAAAGAAAGAATCTCACGGGATGCATGGATGGAAATTGCAGGGCCATACGGAATACCTTATTTGTTGTTGATAATTGCCCCAGATCCCATTATTTCGGTGCAGATGTGATTTGGAGAGAGAGATCTTTGGATGGCATCGATCCAGGAAAGGCTGCGCCATAAAAATCGGGACATCCGGCCAACAACTAATCGGGTTCAAGATTAATTACGTTTTACTGTGCCCGATCCGTTTAGGAATGCACGAATCTCAAAGAATCTAACGGCAATAGAGATGTAGGTAACTACCACCTAGTGGTAGGATGTATTTTTCCTATGTGTGTGTGTGTGTGTGTGTGTGTATATAAGACGCACGCACATATGCATTGCTTGAGTATGTATGCATACTCTCTGTATATGTATGTATGCATTACAAAATTAAGAAAGTGATAACAGAGCATCTGAGTTTCCATATGGAACAGGGAGGGGTGGTTGTGGTTGTAACAGCAAAGTGTTTTAGCTCACTCCAGCCTTGATCCGGCAAGAGCATCTGAGCTTCCATATATATGATCATATCTTCAAAAGGAAAAGCTTCTTCCTGAATCAAGCTAGCTCATATCTGGAGAGAAAATCTTCTCCGAGAAAGAATGTCATGTGCATCAGGAGAAGCTTTTTGCCGAGTCATGCCGTGTGCAGCAGAAGAAGCTTCTTCGTCGGTATAAAGAGAGGGGCAGCCCATCGACTGTCACAACTCACAAGCAAGAGGAAGAACCAGAACCAATGGAGAGGAAGAACAGGAGAGTGAAGGCTGCGGCCGTCTGCGTGCTCCTCGCCGTCCCGCTGTCGGCGCAGCAGCTGCTGGTGGCCGGCGCCGCGCCGGCGTTCTGCAAATGCTACGTCAGCTGTGCGCCCTGGGCGGCCAGATGGGTGGCGGCTGCCCGGGTGTCTGCGGGGAGGCCTCGGACAATGTCTTGTATGGTGGAATAAACAAATAAATTGATATGGAAAATCATACTCCCTTCTTTTTAGTTTATAGGGCTTATCTTAATTTTTTTTAGTTTTTCCATTTTATAAGGCTCAATTTGGTTGTTCCCCATCACATGTTCAGACTTCAAGGTGCATTAAATCATTGCATGCAAGTATTAAGAGAAAATTGACCAATGCATGCATGCATTGCAATTAATGCATTCATAAACATAATGTTTTGAGGAAAACAAGAGCATTAATTTGGTGCTTTTGCAAACTACAAAAAATATTCCATCACTCATCATCTACCTTGGTTGGTGAGATTTTTGAATTGAGCCTTATAAATCGGAAAGGAGGGAGTATATGAGAATTTGGTTGGGTTGTCACTCGATCGGTTTAGTGGAATGTTACTATGTTCTTTGTGAAATGTTGTAGTACTACACTGAAGAGAGCTTAGTTTGAGATGTTGTCATACTCCCTCCGGTCCTTTTTACTTTGCATATAAGAATTGTCTGAAGTCAAACTATATAAAGTTTGACCATATTTATATAAAAATATATTAACATCTACAATGCTAAATTTATACAACATGAAAACTAAAGTCATGACGTATCTAATATTGTTGATCTCACATTCTAAATATTAATATTTTTTTCTATAAACTTGGTCAAAGTTTACGAGGCATGACTTCAGACAAATCTTATATGCAAATTAAAAAGGACCGGAGGGAGTATGTGAGAGTTGTCACAGGTTTGTGAAACCAACAAAAAAGAAAAAGATGACCAGGTTCAGGTTTGCTCAATTTCACCTGATGATTCAGGTGTAGATGTGTGACGACTCAAGTTGTCACAGAGCGTTTTCATCATCACATGGTCAAAGTTTATGAGGCATGACTTCAGACAAATCTTATATGCAAATTAAAAAGGACCGAAGGGAGTATGTGAGAGTTGTCACAGGTTTGTGAAACCAGCAAAAAAGAAAAAGATGACCAGGTTCAGGTTTGCTCAATTTCACCTGATGATTCAGGTGTAGATGTGTGACGACCCAAGTTGTCACAGAGCGTTTTCATCATCACATGGTCAAAGTTTACGAGGCA